CTCCGCTTGGTTTCCCCGATGTAGAGGAAGCCACACCGGGTACAGCGGATGCAGTATACCACATTGGCAGATGTGCAGGTGAACATCTGCTTGATGTGGAAAGTCTTCTTGGGGCCTGGGATGGGGGTGAGGGAGGAGGTATGGGGGCAGGTGTAGCACTTCCTGCGGTTGCAGGGAAAAGTGCCGGGTGTGGTGGAGCTGGAGGGGAGTGTGGAGCGGACAAGGGAGTCACGGAGAGAGTTGTCCCTCCGGAAAGCAGATAAGGGTGGGGAGGGAAAGATGTCTTTGGTGGTGGGGTCGGATTGCAGATGGCGGAAGTGTCGGAGGATGATGCGTTGGATCCGGAGGTTGGTGGGGTGGTACGTGAGGACGAGGGGGATTCTTTTTTGGTTTTTATTGCGTGGACGGGGTGTGAGGGATGAGGTGCGGGAGATGTGGGAGACACGGTTGAGGGCGTTCTCGACCACCGAGGAGGGGAAGTTACAGTCCTTGAAAAACGAGGACAACTGAGATGTACGGGAGTGGAATGCCTCATCCTGGGAGCAGATGCGGCGGAGGCGAAGGAATTGGGAATAGGGGATAGCATTTTTGCAGGAAGGTGGGTGGGAGGAGGAGTATTCTAGGTAGCTGTGGGAGTCGGTGGGCTTGAAATGAATATCGGTTTCTAGGTGGTTGACCGATATGGAGACAGAGAGGTCCAGGAAGGTTGTCTGATTCTCCCCTCCTCCACTCTCTGGTGAATTGCACACTGTCCCTTTAAGGGTGAGTCACGCGACCGAGCAGGACCCTTTAATCGGGTCACGTGAGCGCTCGAGGCTGCGAGAGAGAGAGAAGAGTTGGAGGAGGAGGGATGGTGAGTGTTTGATTAACTGACTGAAGGAGCTGCCGTGGTTCGGGCTGTCTCCATGACAGGCCGATGTTTCGCTGCGGCCTCCACACCTTGTCTCTTCGGGCCCCGTTCAGAGAGGGACAGCGGCCTCCCTGCCGGGCCTAGGGGAGTGGGCTGCTGTGTCGGCAAGTCAGGGTCCCGGCGGTCCCTGCCCATTTGTCGTGGTTCCCGGGCATTGGGAAAGTGGCTGCTCCTTGTTGTTGTCCCAGTGTGGAACCAGGGATCCTCCTCATTTGGTTTAGAGAGTGGCCTCAGGATAGTGCCAAAGTGGAGCTGACCCGCCTCTTGCATTGGGTCAGTTAGAAGCTCCAGAACCGTAAGGGGATATTGTAGCAAGGGACTGGCGTTTATTTATTGCCCATCCCATGTACCTGCCCCCCCCCGTCACTGCAACTGAATTACTTGCTGCACCAACGGAGCAGAGGATAGCTAATTGTTGATCGCACTGTTCTGGGCCTGGGTTCGCCTTTAGCTAGATGACAGCTTTCCCTTCTGTAAGGGAACATGTTTGGTCAATTCCAACATCGTGGATTTCAATGCTGGGATTAAAGCCAGCAACAAAAACAGAAGTTGCCGATAAAGCTCAGCAGGTCTGGCAGCATCTGTGGAGAAAAATCAGAGTTAACGTTTCGGGTCCAGTGATCCTGCCTCGGAACAGTGATTAAAGTGTCTGAATTTGTAATCTAATAAGAAGCACTGCAGTAACACTAAATCCAATGCATGGTGGGAGATTCCCTAGGTTGGATCAGTGTGAAGCTCTGAACATAAGCTTTGACGTGCACGAGACAGTAGTGAAAGAAGTAGGGACACTGCTTACAAGTGAATTGTTAGAGTAGAACCGAGAAATGAATGGCATAACATTGATAAGACCCTGAAAAGTAGTGGAACAGCTGAAAAGGACTGAGGCACTTGATAGATTTCTGCTTTAAAAAGAAACTTGGGTGCAGTAAGGAAGGTGTAATCTGGGGTTACCTTTACAAAAATAACTAACTTTTGTTTTATTCATTCACCAGACATGCATGTTGTTGGCCACGTCATTATTTATTGCCCATCCTGAATGGCCCAGAGTCAACCACATTGCTGTGGGTCTGGAGTGACATGTAGGTTATTAGCAAACCAGATTTTTTTTCCTGACAATAGGTTCATGGTCATCTCTAAATTTATTAATTCCAGATTTTTATTGAATTGAATCTAAGTCTCCAGAACATTACCCATGTCTCTGAATTAATAATCTAGAGATAATGCCATGAGGCCATTATCTCTTCATGCTGATTTGATATGTAAGTGGAGGCATGTTCCATCTGTACTGCCAGATGAATTTCTTCCTTGTCCTTTTGGGTGGGCAATCTAAGTGGCAGCTCCTCGCCTTGGACAACAGAATGCAGGAGGATTATGACCTACTTAAAACCAAAAACAAACTAGCCAGCAATGACACACCATGGACAAATGAAAACATGAGGGCAAAATCATTCTAAAGGCAAACACGAAGTACACTTCGAGGCGTTCAAGAGGGTGTTGGATGGTTATTTAAATAGTAGGGGACATGTTTCTAAAGTGAAGGGAGAAAGATTTAAAATAGACCTGAGGGGCAACTTTTTCACAATGGGTGGCTTGTATGTGGAACAAACTATGCAGGCACAGTTACAACATTTAAAAGATGTTCGGAGAAGTACTTGATAGGAAGGATTTCGAGGGATATGGACCAAATGCAGGCAAGTGGGACTAGTTTAGTTTGGAAAACTTGGTTAGCATGGACAGGTTGGACCGAAGGGTCTGTTTCTGTGCTGCCAGACTCTCTAATGGTGCGCAAGGATGCGATGAAAAGGTGGGATATTTGCACTGGATAATAGAGCTGGTGCAGACACAGTGAGTGAATGGCCTGTTTCTGCACTGTAATAATTCTGTGATTCTTTGATTCACTAGGTATACAGGCAGCAAGGGAGAACATGGCAATATTGAAAAAGATGGGAAAGAAGAGACTGAGAAATAATTTATTCTACTGACACACAAAAAGGAAAAGAAATATCAGGATAGTGATTAAAAACAGAGGGATTATATATAATAAACTCACAGGCTTCTGTATTTATTAAGGAATATAATATCTATTCAACATTAAAAGAAAAAAGTCAAAGATATAGCAAACATTTAAGATAGAATAAGCATAGATGTTTAATAAACTAGCAAAGCGTAAAGGTGTTAAATCCCTGGGTCAAATGGATGGCACGAAAAAGAAAGCATTATTACACATCTATTGATATCAGGTGTAATGTGTGTATGTATTGATAATATGTGTATATAGAAAGTCATTAAAAAAGTGAATAGTTCCAGAGGAATGGTGAATAGCTTATATGATTTCACTTGGCTCAAAGTTGGTGGTAGAAAAGACAATGGAATTATTTGTCAAAAACGTGATTGAAGACATCTTGAAACAAAAATTGTAAAGAATAGTCCACGTGGATTACTGAAAGGAAGGTCATATATGACCAGCCTTATTGAATTATTGGGTGAATGTATAGTGAAGGCTAATGTAGTACATGTAATCTATTTGGATATTTGAAATGCCTTTGAGGTATTTCTCATACAGACTTGTGACGAAGGCGCTGCCAGGGGACAAATAGAATGGATAGTAACTAGTCTGCAAAGCAGAAGACATGAGTAAAGGTAGTTACACAAACAGGCAAAAGGTGGGAAATGGTGTTTCCACAAGGATCAGTGAATGAAATGAAAATTGATATAACTGGAAAAAACTCAGTAGGTTTGGCAGCATCTGTGGAGAGAAAGCAGAGTTAAGACTTCAGAACTAAAGAATGTATTCTGAAGAAGGGTCACTGGACCTGAAATGTTAACTCTGTTTTCTGTCAACAGATGCTGCCAGACCTGCTGGGCTTCTCCAAGTATTTCTGTTTTTTCTTTAAGTGCTGTTTATTTCTCGAGGTAAATAATATAAAAAAAAGTGTTTTTTTTTATTAAATTTTTGTAGAAATGGAGATAGTGGTGCTGCCTTGTCCAAGGTTCAGTGCTGAGCTGAGTCCAATGCTTTTATGTGATCTTTAAGAAAGATGTTTCACGTATAGACTGGTACATTCCAACAATGGCAAATGGTAAGGGAGCCAAAATCAGAGCTGCTCAGCTGATGAGTGAGATAGAGATTATGATGAAACAAAGACCAGGTGTGTAATGTACTTTAGGTGGATTCTTCAAATGGGAAGCTAGTTAACTACAATCGCTTGAGAGGGGAAGTGAAAATAAAAAAAAAACTGTTGAATAAATTGTGATAATAGAAAAGCATTCAACGTTAAAGAGGATACAAATATTATCTACTGTCTTGTAAAAGCAAAATCTGGTTCACTAATGTCCTCTAGAAAGGAAATCCATTGTCCTTGACTGGTCAGGCCTTCATATGACCCCAGACACAGTAATATGATTGGCTCTTTCACTGTCTCATGGGCAGTTAGGGGTGGGCAAAAATGCTGGCCTAATCAGTAGCATCCACATTCCATGTACAAACACAAAAAAGTTGTAAATAGTAAATGGGTAGCGAGGCTGTGTGGAACCATATCAGGCACACGGTGATGTGTGCTGAGGGGAGCAGGGCAAGGCTAGCATACTTTGTGTCAGGATTTGCTAAAAAGAAATCTGACAAAATATCAGTAGAAGTAGTGATAGTGTGAAAATTAAGGTGCTGGAAAGACTAGTTATATATGGGTGGATTGGCACTGGGTGACCGATGGATGTGCATGTGCCTAGGTTCTTGAAGATGGCAGGACATTGAGAGAGCAGCAAGCAAAGCCTAGAGGATATTAGGCTTCATAAATAGACGTATTGAGTACATACATAGATAATTGTATTGCCATTGTTGTCGTTTATCTCGGTTTTCAAAGGAACTTTGATAACGTTCCCATAATAGACTAATGAATAAAGTTAGAGAATGTGGTGTCGGGGCAAATGGAAGAAGGGATTGCTTGCTGGCAGCAGTACAGAAGAGAAATAGAAGTAAAAGGGAATTATTTAGAGAGGAAGAAGGTGGGAAGGGGTGTTCCACCAGGATCCGTACAGGACCACTGCTGTTCATTATTTACATCAACTGTTTAGATTTGAATTCAAAAACACAATTTCTGAATTCACAAATAATACCAAATTGTAGAGACTATAGACGGTACTGAGGAGAATTACAACAAATTGCTGAAGGAAATTAGTAAACATTCAGAATAAGCAAATACTTGACCCGAAACGTTAACTCTGTTTTCTCCTTCACAGATGCTGCCAGACCTGCTGAGCTTTTCCAGCACCTTTGTTTTTGTGTCAACTGATCTGCCTTCATCTGTTGTCTTGGTCAGCCTTTCAAAAAACTCAATTAAGTTAGTGAGACACGATTTCCCACACAAAGCTGTGCTGATTATCCCAAATCAGTCCTTGACTTTTCAAATGCATGTAGTTTCTCGGTATCTCCTCCAATTACTTACCCACCACTGACATCAGGTTCACCCATATGTAATACTCTGGTTTTCCTTGCAGCTTTTCTTAAGTCTTTAAATGTTTCACTAAAGGCAAGGCAATTTAAACAAAACCGATCAAACGCTGGGCATTCTTTCTAGAGCGGTAAAATTGAAAAGTAAGGCAGTGATACTAGGTCGGTACTGAACCTTGGTTAGACCATACTGAGGGTACTACATGCAGTTCTGAACACCATGCTTACAGCAAAGGCCGTAGAGAACAGGATGCAGAGAAGATTTATAAGGACAGTGCCAGAAAACTCAGATCTTTTAAATTTATGGAAAATTTTGATTGACCGGATATAGAACAGGGAAGGTGGTAAAAGAGGGGGAGGTGTGGCATTGTTAGTCAAGGACAGTATTACGGTGGCAGAAAGGACGTTTGATGAGGACTCGTCTACTGAGGTAGTATGGGCTGAAGTTAGAAACAAGAAAGGAGAGGTCACCCTGTTGGGAGTTTTCTATAGGCCT